GGAGGGTGCGTGGGGACCGAGGGGGGCTGGGGGTATTGGGAGGGATGGGGGGGGGATCGAGGGGGGGCGGTGTATGCTTAGGAGTAAGCACGTAGCAAAGGGAGCCCTTTACAAATAGACGCAAATCTCGTAGTTGTCGCCCGTACGTAAGAGGCGAAAGTACCAAGATAAGTAAGCTGATCGATGGCCTCGAAAGATTGTTCGGTAGTGACGACAACTGGAGGCGAGTCAGTCCAGTCCCGTTGGGGCAATAGACACTTTGAAGGTTCGAAGCACTTGTCAAGGCATGCAGGTATTTGTGTCAGCCTATGTAGTAGCCACTGCACAACAGCTGGGTTAGGTTCAAAACAGAGTTACAATCCGGGTACTCGAGGTTTGAGAGTTGATCACCAAACAGAACTTTGACCGCAGGAAAAGTGAGAGGAGGTAGGAGTAATCCGTCAATGATCATTTCGATCACAAAGTTGAGGAGTAATGGAGGAGCAGGGCATCCGTGACGTACTCTACTTGTGGTGCCGAACTCAGAGGAAAGTTTCCCGTAGATTAACGCACGGCGGCGGGAGCCGCAGCACAGAAATATTAAAAGAGAAGGGATTTATTCAAGCACCCCTTAGAGAATGGACACTAACACAAACAAGTGCGATAAACAGAATCAAACAAAGGAAAGCTCCTGTGATGGGTTCATTGTAAATATTGCGTTACAACACCTTGTGAGGAATAAAAAATTGGTCAATGTACCCACAGTTGGAGCGTAAGCCCGCCGCCGGGTGCTTGCTGACTCGTTTCTCACTATAATCAATGAACCATCGCAACAAGTTGTATGTGAGTAGGTTAAAAGTAAATGAGACGAAAAGGATACTATAAGTATTTCCACCGGATGTCTTTTGGATATTTTTGTATGATGGACATAACATTTGACAACTATAAGCCAGACTGAATCTCCTCCTTGCTCTAGATAGTGTTGAACAGAGCAACCAAGTTGATCAGAAGTGGTCGCCACAGTTCCTTAGTAACGACGGTAGAACTGTGATCTTGTCCGGGAAACCAGCCCCGCTTCATCAGCAGTAACTAGTGCCGAATCTGATTAGTCGTGGTACTTGTTAGATCAACATTACTGGCGGGTTAAGACAACCCAACTGACATTTATGATGCGCACAGCAAACTGAATGGTTTTCCGAAGTGCCAAACACAGTATCACAGCAAATGTGGCCACCCCTCGTCCAAGCTGCCGATGTGCTCAAGGGAATCCTTCTTGGATTTGTGCGTCGAATGAGTTGGTAGTCTCTTGGCATTCCCAATGGCGCGGGTAGTCTCCATCCCACGAACCTTTTGCTATCCACCAACGCTCCCAGTCGATTCGCAGACTCTGAATCGGATGGCCTTTCGATGCTTTGAACATTTAGGAGGAAACATACAGACGAAAACGCAATTTGTGATTTAAGTAGGCTAATCGAAGTCTCAGGTAAACATCTACCAACCAAACGCATCAAGCCAGGAGAATAAAATTGTCATAGGTGCTTTGTAATGCGCATTAGAGGCGAATCAAGTCCGTAGATTGCTCATGCTGAAGAGACTGATGGTTGGTGGTTTGCTGTGTTGAAAATATTGCAAGCATGGAAGCTGAGTAGTGCCTTATTCGCAGAAACACTGTGTTTGTAGTAGTGATAGGCATACGGATACTCTGACCGGTCAACAGTTACATCCTACACCTTCAATGAAGGACCTAAGCATACTTTCACGCTGCGATTTGAAGTCTATAGATAAAAGGAACAAGTTGGATGAAAACGGGCTGCTTTGGGCATTCAAACATAGCTTTTTCACCCGGTCTGAAGAGAATGACACTCGCCTTTTCCATCAAAAATCAATGCGCCGGTACGATTCACCTGCCTACGCCCGATAAGCCGCGGATATGTTAAAAGCTAGAACGTTTTCCGCATATGGCTGTCATGATCACTACCAATTTACGAAGCACGTCGTACAAAGACCGATGCAGAAGACTGGTGCTGTAGAATTCGTCATATCGTCGGTTTCCACTGCAGTTCATGATGACGCACCAGACATTACATCTGGATGACTCTGTTCTGCCGAGGCTGTTTCTGCACGTGCGCACGACCAGTAACACTCGCGAGCACCGGTACAACATTGTAGTACTAGACTAGAGAAGCAGATAGCTTACCAAGCTTCGAACGTCGAGTGGAGAAATAGTGAAACTGTATGAACAAGAAATAGTCGAGGCAAAAATCACTACCGGAATCCAAATTCATAGACGTGCAATTTGCGGGTTACAGGTTTCGAGAGCGCATCGCACCTGAAGGTGACGTCTCAGGGCCAAACTGCGGGGTAACAAATAACGTTATTTCGCGTGCGTGCCATATCGATGGTGCAACGCATATGTATATCTTCGAGCTCCCTATTCACAATATTCAGTATTCCAGATCTAATGTCAAGTTCATGTGACGACTCTCTGACGGGCTAATGCGGCATTCCTCTGTTTCCAGATGGTGGTAAAAGGGACAGTGATAGTGAAATATAAGTGCATGGAAAGGATGCGGTTAGAATGAAAAATAGCGGATTGGGGGAAAAATCAGACAACCAATGTAGCACGAACTCAACAAATACTGTCATTAGAATCACCCGGAATAGTCGTCTATCTAAGTGGCTCCGCGCATGGGTCGACAACTTTTGTTATACGACAGAGTTAATTTCGATGGGATACGCGTGACTGAGCATACATACTGAATCGTTGTTTTTTTGAGTATAGATTAAAAGTATATATCAAAGAACTATAGGCGGCGGCTGGGGCAGTCCAATGCGAAAGCAGCCTTTGCTAAATGGATGGAGTGTTTCATGGAGGATCGACTGTTGCGATACAAATGATCTTATCTTTGACTCGCTCCTTGTTTTTGCGTTTTACGATTTGAACGAATTGCATTCGCGTTGACTGTTCCATAATTACGTAGACTACAGCATGTAGTAGCATATATAATCACGTAAGGGGTGAACTGGCGCAAAATCGGCCGGCGAATAAACGGCAGAATTCAGGCATCCACTGAGCAGATAAAAGCGCATCGCGAATTGGTTTTGGATACCAAGGAAAAGAAGGAACATAATGTCTTACCTTTGCCCTATACACCAAGCACCTGGCGTACGCCTGAGATCCCAAACGCGACTCATCCCCGCCAGCTCCAACTTTCAGAGAAGATGGAATGTCAGTGGAAGTGCCCATAGCAAAATCAGCAAGCTGATCTAACTCGTCCGCCACTTCTCGAGGTAGCGCAGGTCCCAAACGAGGACGAACACGCTTGGAATCACTAACGCTAACCAAAGAATGAAAGCTGGTTGGTTCTGAGTTCAGCAAGTCTCCCGACCCGGCTGAGAGGTAGTTGTCCGGACTAAAAATAAAAAGCATGGGACGAGTAACATCAACAAACAGACCCCACTAGACAGAATATGGATAAAATTAAGAAAGGTGCATCATAAAATACACAGAAGTCCGAAAGAGTTTATCCACAATTTTGTAAATAACATAGTGAGCAGCTGAGGGTGACTCAATAGTTCATTTGTTCTCCGAGCTTGGCGGTTTTGTTGCAAACATTTCACCATCCGCGAGGTGGCATCCTCAGTGCAGCGAAATGCGGTGTGCAATCTTACTGAATGAATCGTCTATCCGTGATCGGCCTGCAGGTGACTATTAAAAGTGGCAGTCTCGATTTGCATCCCGTGACCTCTACGAACTTTCCCCACGACTGAAGTCGGCGCCCGAGTTGTTCTGCTTTAAACCGCGTGAGAATGTTCTTTATTTCTTTCTGTCGAAGTGATTGGTATATTGAATCGATGTCGACGCTCATGTTGATTGAGTGTTTTTGTTGAGAACCAAGCTTCCAGGAAGTCCCTTTCTTTTCTTGTTTCACTCCGTGTCAGGTCTTCTGTTTTGCCCCAATCGAAGTTATGTCCTTTTTCTACGTGCAATGAAACTTGCGACGACGTAAAATGCTTTACATAGCTCTTTTATGTCCTCGTATCCTTGTTGCCAGTTATCTCCATGTCTTGCCCACATACTCCCTTTCGCAATCTTGGCAACGTATTTTGTACATCATATTGCGTTGTCCATGCGCCTGCAGTTTTTCTTTTGGTTTGGTAATAGTTTTTCGCAACGTGGCAGTTGATTTGTGTACTACGATGAGATGATGCTATTTGAATAGTCCGGCTGCTATTTCCGATATGTTCTTCATATAAGGCAGAACAACCCGTCTCTCCGTTGATGTTGTTGTTGCTGCTGCTGCTGCTGCTGCTGCTGTTGTAGTTGTTGGCTGTATGTTTACGTTGTTGTGATTCAGACGCCGGACGAAGCTTCGTGGGTATCCCGTGAGTTAGAAATATTTAAATAGGGGCTTTTCTTCCTTTTGCTTTGCTTCTGTGATACTGCAGTGTGTTTTCACTCTGCGAAACAGTGTCCGCAGATAGCTTACTTTGTAGCATTTCGGGTGGTTGATGTTAAAGTTCAGAATTTGGTTTGTGTGTGCTTTTTCTGTAGACCGATGTTTGCAGCTCGCCTTCCATGGTTTTTGTTACTAATACGTCCAAGAAAGAGTGTTGGCTTTTCTTCTCCGGTTCCATTGTAAACTGGATGCCTTCCATGGCGTTATTCAATAGCTGTTGTGTTACTGTTATTTGGCTGCGCCTGATTATCACGAAGGTGTCGTCCACATACCGAACCCACAGTTTCGGATTGATGAGTGGTAGTACATCCTCCTCCAATTTCTGCGTAACCATCTCTGCGATGCGTCCTGACACAGGTGATCCCATTGGTGCGCCTTTCAATTGCTCATAAATCTTTCCATTGAATGAGAAGTATGTCGACAGACACAAGTGGAGTAGTTCGCATAGATTTTCGGTCACCACTTTTCCGAGTTGTTGTTCACTGTCGTTTATTCGTCATGGGATGACCGCTATTACTATCTGCAAGTTAGCAGACGTGAAGGGCGCAGTCACGTCGAATGATATCATTGTTTCATCATTACCTATTCGTAGGTCTTTGATTTTTGCAGAAACTGCTGGGCATTGGTTATGGAATATTGCGATCCACAGGTCAAATGTTTGAAGTGTCCCCACATTTCTTTCGCCAGGTTGTATGGGAGGAGGGGGCGTTCCCGTGAGAGACAGGATAGGCCACAACGGTGCATCATCTTTGTGCACCTTTGGGAATCCGTAGAATTGCGCGATGTTCGAGTCGCGGGCTCTCATCCTGTCGCGCTCTTCTTTCGTGATTTGCTTCAATTCCTGAAACTGCTTCAAGGTTCGGTTTATTTTGTTTGTCAGCTGCGAAGTTGGATTGGTGTCGATGCATCTGTAAGTTGGTGTGTCAATCAAGAAGTGTGTGGCTTTCTCATTGCAATCCTTCCTATCCATTAGGACAGTCATTCGTCCCTTGTCAGCTGGTAGGATAATAATTGGTTTGTCAGACTTCAGGGTATTCATTGCTTCTTTTTCTTGCCTGGTTAAGGTGTTGTATTGCTTGTTGTGCGTTTTAACAGGAAAAACTGTGTCTTATTTAATTCCGAGTCTCTTCATCAAACCTACTGGATTGTAGGGCGCTTTCAAATGCTTCTAAAAAGTCGGTAGCTGTTGCATCTCCGTAGTTGTAGTTTAATCCCTTGATGAGGACTTGCTGTTCGCCATTGTTGATCGGTCTGTTGGGAAGATTTCTAATCCAGCCGTCACTGGTATTTTTGTCATTAGGAGACATCAATTTTGATAACTTATTGAGAAGCGCATTATGCTTCTTTGTCCTGGCGTTTGCTACCCGATGTTCTGTTGCAGCCTCTAGTTGTTCTATTAATTGCTGTCTAGTGGTTCAGTAAAATTGCACACTGCATCTCACTGCATTGAGGATGTCACCTCGCATGGTAGTGAAATGTTTGCGACGAAACCGCCAAGCTCGGAGAACAAATGAAAGCAAAGCTGAGGTGTGTTTCTCACCCTCAACTAACGCGTACTAATGATGATGATGATGATATGCGCAAAAACACGTGAAAGCATGATCTTGCTAAAGTACAGTGTTGTGATCAATAAGAACCGAACTAATGAAAAACAGGCACTAGTACACTACGGGGTCAGAGCACACGTTTCCGAAACAAAAGAGAACGTACTGCGATGAAGCGGGGATTATCAAGTGGACAGTGTTAAAACAATAAAGTTAATGAAACATCGCCCTGTTTGTCGAAAGACAATGTGATGAGGAAACGGTGAAGAGGCAAGTGAAAAACTGAGTTCGTGACAATCTGTTCGGTGAATTTAGGCATGCAATAGCCGTAAACGACCGACAACAAGGTAATTCTTTAGAGGTAGGTAATATGACGACTGGTGTAGCCTATCCGATGCGTTGGGAGTCGATCAGCACAGAAAATGAAAGAATGAGAGTAAGCACGCAATCTGCCTGAGGAAAAAGCGAGAACAAGGTCAAGCTGCACGATGTTTCAAAAAAGAAAGTACCCCCATGCGACTGAGCACGTTTGCGATGCAAGTGCGCTATGGATGGCGGAATCCATCAGCCGGTGCAATATTTCACAACGTAAGCATAACGTATGCTGCATAAATAAGCAGATTGAGGCAATTTTATGGTATGATGTGCGGTTACGCAATAGCAGAGACGGACATCGGTACGCAGCACCGATGTTTCACTGCCGCCCAAGCACAACAGTCCCATGTGGGCTACGGAAACTGCGAGGCGCGCAGGGTCGACAATAACCACTAATGAATCGCACCTATTGCAAAGCGCGATCACGTACTAAAGGGGTATGCAGCGCTAAGGCAATCTCATCATTAGTGCAACGAGAACAACATATTTTGACGATGTTCCACTGCGAGGGAACAGTGGTCAGCAAAGGAACACAAGCACATAACAACAAAGTGTGAGGTCAACAAACGTTCAATCTCATGATTCTTGCACCTCGGAAGCAACATTCGGTCGTCAACAACTGGTAATCGTGTAGTTAAATGACATCAGTCCACAGCCCCACTCGATGACCAGATTTGCCTCAATAGGCAAACCTGTTGGCGAGTAATCGTGCACTTCAAGTATACAACCTTTCCGTGGAGTGATCGTCGAAAGCCAAGTGGGTGGAATAAAGGCTATGAGTAGAAAATGTCAACGACCGCCGCTTTCGGTTTGATTCGCAAACTCAAAATTGTCTCATCACCCTACAGAATGATATCTAGTGCGATGACTGCCGATAGCGAATGCGCAACCGGCCTTCGAGCTACTAGAATCCTAATAATTTTTTCTCTGTATTCATGAGTAGGGGATTTGTGATTCCACTGAGAGGTCATCGCAGCAGCTTCCAAATCAGATAGTCCTGAACATGCCCGCAAAAGCAATAGACTTCAATTCCGATCTATTGGGCTTGGTCGCTAGTGCGCATCCATCGGTTCTATCAAGACCCGAACCTATTGATCACCAGCGACTTGAACCGCAAGACAGTAGCTCATGCCACTGAGTCAAGGCGGACGGTGGCAGGTTTACAACCAAGGTTCGTTAGTCGCATGGGAGCGGAGGATAAGACGCGTTATATGGTAGCTTGTTTGCAAATCATGAGGGGTTCGCCGCTGTCCCCCGTTGATCAGTAGCATAGGCAGCCGTCCGGCGGTTCAAGCCGCTAGTGGTTGGGGGTTCCGATCTTGATGGAGCCGATGGATGCACACAACTGACGAGACTCAACGGGCCTAAACTACAGTCTTGTGCTTTTTCGGGCATGTGAAGGACTATCTGCGACGAACTATCAATTGATTCTTTTAATGTTTAATGAGGCGAACAGCAGTGATTATGACAATCTTAAAAACAAGTAAACAGTTGGTTTGGATGCGGTTGTGCAGCTCCAAATAGCAACTCTATCGTAAAGGCACCTGATGCTCTCAAAGGCTAAGGGAAACAGTTCCGTTGACTCCCATCACAAGCTATCTCATAATGTTATACAAGAACTGGCCTCATTCACCTAGTATAAAACGCTAATTCAGCACATGTGAAGCGCAATAAGTGTGTATGGGTTAACATATCGTAAAATTAAAAGTGAGCGCGTTCCTGATCGCTAGAGGGAAAATTAGGTGCTCTATAGACCTAATGTCAAATTGAGAATAAAGGGATGTAATGTTCCAGCTGGAGTTTGACCTAACCTTATCGGGCAATTGCAGCCATGCTATGTTAACCACCGAGCTACCAACAGGTGGGTTTAAAATCAGAACGACACATCTTTAATGGTTACCAAATTGTTCAAAAAGCCCACCGGTATTTACTGCACTCACTAAGGGCTCCGCCCCATACAGTGTCTGTAGCGCTATGGAACACAGCAACGTCAACCATGGAACTCATCGGGAAATGTCGAGGCAAAGCCCCTAAAACACATAAACGGAAGTATGACCCCAGAAAGCAAAAACAAGACAAAGCAGCGCCTGTGACACTGGGTAATTCTGAGCAGTTCTACCTAATATGCTCGGATGGAATCATCCGACTAACTTAACTCACTCCTCTCTCAAGTCCCTTTAAATATACTCTCTGTGTTCTACTCTATGGTTCTCCTTACTGCCATTTGCTGTTACCTAGTCAACACGAGTAGCGGCAACTTGATCTACCGCACATAGATGTCCGGATCGTAGTTGTTTAACTGAAATGATGACTGTGGCGCGTACCAATAACAGAAGCACAAAGAAATGCATGGGGCATGAACAAGTTGCCAAATCTCATTGGTAAACCGACCTTTGGGTTGCGAGGCTGATAAAACCCTCTTTACTTACCTGCTATCTCCATTGGCAATTTCGAAAAACTCATCGCCGTCGTCATCATCGTCATCGGAGATATAGAACGATGGGAAGCCTTCCTTGGTTAAAAAAGAAAAGTCGATTAGAAGTGTGCAAGAAAGCGGGTATGACATCTGAGAGAGATCGAATGTGGAAGACGAAGCGAGGTGAATGTGCGATAATGCAGAGTGCAAATGTGTGACAAGTAGGAAATGCGCAAATGCGAGTGTGACCTTATTCCTTCGGGTCGACCGGATAATGAGAACAAATAGGCGGATAACATTTCAGATGCAAGTGTGAGGCTACGTTGTGTGTGACATTTAGCATGAAACAAAGAAGCCGGGTTACATCGCGTTGCTGTTCATGTTTTGGTGGTACATTCGCATCACAAACACCTTTGGAGCGCAAATTCAAATGTGTTTAAGTCGCTTCGCCAATCCATCAATAAACGATTGTCGTTAGCCGAATAAGCCATATCCGGACTATCCGTCAACCGAAATCACCGACATCATGTATGAGTGTAGTGCTTTCTTTTGTAAACTAATGGCATGTACCATGTAACAAGAGAACTCGAGTCAAAAGTCAAAACATGCTCTCTGTATCGAAAAGGAAACACTTTCGGCGCTTTAAACTGGCGCTGTGGATGGAATGAGAAGGGATAATAATCAAAAATCACAAGCGAAAGACGAGAAATAACATGTGCACATGTCACCCAAGTAGGTGTTTATGCGTGAGATCGATGCTGCTTTGGAGTTCATAAGAAAACGTAATAAATACGGTAAAATTGAAGGAATAAATGCAGTTCGGGAAGACGGAATCCTAAATTTTGCGCGTAGACAAAAGGAGAGTTTGATAGACCGTCGTGTAAACCTTTACAGTAAAATTTGTTAAATGCGACGAAAGGTTAAGTTACTAGGAAATATACCGGATGCTAAACAGTGCACTGCACCTGGAGATGAAAGAAGAAAAAAGACATCAGCAGTGCGCCGATAACCGGTACCGATGCTTCTCTGCAGCACAACCACCAACAGTCGCTCGGGGATAAGGATACTGAGAGGGGCGCCCGATCCCCTACGCAGGCTCGAACCCGACGCGTCCAGATTACATGGCATGCTTGTGATCCTTAGGACCACGAGTGGGGCTTAACGGAACGTATACTCAGTATGGAGCCATGTTGAAGAGGACTAGGGAAAGTAATATGTAGACAGTTCAACCGATGAAGAAGAATATAGATGGTGAATACGTCATAAAATGAACAAAATACTGGAAACATTTTGAGTCTCAAGTTATGCAATGATGGTCTGCTTAACTTTTGAAGTTTCGTCAATATGTCGGTCGCGTCTGATTTTGAGAGAACAAAAATGCCAAGGCACTTAATGGTGGATGCAAAGGGTATGACAGGGTAGCTCAAGACCACGCGACGAGAAGTACTTGCTAATATATATCGATTAGCGAGAGCGAGAGGTAAATCTAACTACAAGATGAAATTTTTGGGGTTCTAATAGGCGCCGCACAAATGGCAAGAATATTTTTAAATAAATGACGGAAGTGTTAAATAAGAAACCGGAAAGAATACTCAACTGGCTTACCGGCACATCATCATGTGAAGATTTCTGCATTAGGGCCAACGACCGGCGCATTTCCACAAATTCTGATCGCAGCGAAAAGAGTTCATCCCTCAACTCAACAGTGCGCGCGCTTTCCGGTGAGCCCGAATATATCCGCATAAGAAGTTGCCACATGGCATGGAAAGCAACACCGAGACTGAATCCAATTCCGGCACCCAGAAGAGCGGAAACAATCACTCGTCTGCCTAGACGGCCCCCAGTCCCCAAATTGCCGTCTGACGCAAAGTGCTGGCTTGGCTGCATTTTCCGGTAAAGCGACAACTGTGCCGCCGCTATTACACTGGTCCTACAAAGGAAAGTAATGGCGTATGACTGTGCCTATTGCAATTTTCAGTACAGGTTAGCTGACATTATATTTCAAGACTAGAAAGCAGGGCAAACGAATATGTTCTCAGTAATTCCCCTTCAGAGTTGTACAATTATATATATATATATATATATATATATATATATATATATATATATATATATATATATATATATACATTCGCAGTCTTTAAACAGACATTGTGCCATCAGAACCATGGAAGAAGAAAAATGTGAAGATAGGAACATGAACTGCGATTTTAAAAAATGGGAAGCGATTTTTGTTTGTTAGTACACGCCATTTTGAATTTTTGTGTTTTAGTTTTGTGAGTTTTTGTGTATTAATGATGGGGGATATAATAGCAGAACAACATTGAAGCCACTGATGTCTGTTGCGGGCCATGACGTCCAATATCTCCAACCAATGAGATCCAGCATCTCGTGGTCCCCAACCACGAAGACGGACTGGCCCGGCTGCCGCCAAACTTGTTGCCTTCTTAATGCTCCTTCTTCACGTCACTGGCGTTGGAGAGGTAGCTCAACTACTCGCCAACCTTGACGGCACCAAACCTGTCGGACCTGATGGGCTTCACCCACTGGTTCTCAAGTCACTTTCAACCATCCTCTCTCCTGTCGTGACTGAGCTTTTCAACAGGTCGCTGTCCGCAGGTTTGTTGCAGGTTGACTGGAAATGTTCGGTGGTGAAGCCTATTCCGAAAGGCGGCGACCCTAGCAAAGTAGACAATTACAGGCCAATTTGTCCGACACCCATTTTGGCAAAGGTTGCTGAGAAAATCGTGAAGAAGGGATTGCTGCAGTTGCTACAGTCAAACGAGGTCCTGACGCCCGCACAGCACGGTTTTATGCAAGGTCGCTCATGCATTACGAACCTGCTTGTGACGAGGCATGAGTGGTTGAAGGCAATAAACAAAGGGAAATCCGTCGACGTGATATTCATCGATTTCAGCAAAGCGTTCGACAAGGTCAGTCATGAGGTTCTCCTTCACAAACTCAGGATGTGTGGTGTCGGTGGCTCACTGCACCGGTGGATCCGCGACTTTCTTGTTGGACGAAAGTGGAGGGTACAGGTCGACGACCATCTAACTGACTGGTACCACTTTACAAGTGGCGTGCCTCAAGGCACTGTGCTGGGGCCCACTCTGTTCCTGATCCACATCAACGATCTACCGCGGATTCTCCGGTCGCCGTGTGCTTTGTTTGCGGACGACATAAAGATCTGGAGAGAAAATGACGCTCCCGATGACTGTGGCCTACTTCAGCAAGACCTCAACCGCCCATCCACATGGTATGCAGAAGTTCTTCTCCCGATCAACCCAGCCAAGTCTGTATTTACGAGCCTGGGGAAGGGTGCTAACGGCCGAACCTACACCCTTGACGGCCAAACGCTATATCCCACACCCTCCGTGAAGGACCTAGGTGTACTCTCACGCTACGATTTGTAGTCCGTGGACAACACGAACAGGCTATATCGTAACGGACTGCACATGCTTTGGGCGCTCAAACGTAGCTTCGGCACATGGTCTGAAGAGGTTGCCACTCGCCTCTTCTCTTCTACCATTAGACCAATGCCAGAGTACGGTTCGCCTGCCTACTTTCCGACTACCCGAGGTGAGGCACAAAAGATCGAACGGGTCCAACACGTTGCTACCAGGATGATCCCGAGTTTACGTAGCTTTGGGTATGAAGATCGGTGCGAGAAACTAGGACTCTACACCTTGTCCTACCGTCGAGTGCGAGTCGACCTCATTATGACCTACCGTATTCGACATCTCGGTGACTTCTCCATGCTAAAGCCAATGCTGCACTTACGAGGGACATGCTGCACTTATGAGGGCCCTGCAGCACACGCGGACACAGATACAAACTTGTCGTGCCGGATGTGAAATGTGTTCCCCACCCACTGTGCATCGAACGGAGTGTGGTAAACATTTGGAACAGTTTGCCTGGACATGAGATTGAGGCAACATCTGTGTAACAGTTCAAAACGTTGTTAGATTTGTATTTTGCCACTATTCGATTCAGAGAACGACTGCACACTTACGATGACATATCACATATGTGAATCCTGAAATATCGTAAGTCGAATATTTTAAATAGTACATGAGAACGACAATGATATTCACGGTTGACAACTTTTATAACGTTTTTCACCATATTTCGAAAGAGTTGTACAGAATCCATTTCTACTTGCTCTATAATACAGTATTCAGTATTCACCGCGGCACATTTTCCAGTCGCTCCCTGGGAGTGCAAATAGCGCTCGACGTGGAAGGTGATGTGGGCTGGCATGCGCAAAACGTGCCCGAGCCAACACATGCGATGTCGGAGAATAAAGTCTTGAAGACTGGTACTACTCGCTCCAAACACTCGGTCTCGCACCTCTGCGTTGCTTACGTGGTGTTGCCACCACACCCGAGCAATCCTTCGTAGACAGCGATTGTCGAAGACTGACAGCCGCTTCATGTCTTCCGAGCGAATAGGCCGTCACACAGCCGTACAAGAGTACTGCACGGAGGGAAGCACTGTACACCCTGCCCTTGAGCTTGAGACTGACATCACGACGACACCATAGGTGTCTGAGTTTGATGAATGCAAGGCGGGCCTTTGCAATCTGTTGTGAGACTTCATCTCCAACACCGCCACCAGCCGTGATGCAACTCCCTAGATAAGTAAAGCAAGGGACTTGCTTCAGAACATGTCCAACAATGGTGAGCGAGGGTCCAGGTACCTGCCAGTCCTGGAGCAGCGTTTTACATTTTCCCGGAGTGAAGCATAAGCCGTACCTAGACGCCTCTATCGTTAAGCGGTCCAAAGCGCTCTGGACTGTTTGTGGGGCGTCTCAAAAACAAGGCGATATCATCGGCGTAGTCCAAGTCCGTGACTTTGTCTCCAGGGAGGAGCTCAACAGCGCAGTTCTGTGCACCGCAGTTCCAGTGCTCTTTGGACAACATCTTCGATGGCGAAATTGAAGAGGAAAGGTGAAATAGGGCAACTTAGGCGAACACCGCGGGTCACAGCAAACGAAGAAAAGAGCGTACCGTAAGCGCTGACTTTTCCCGACGTGTGGTTGTGAAGTTCTTTCAGGACGGTTACAAACTTGTCGAGCACACCTTCCTTCAGTAAACAGTTCCACAACGCAGATCTATCTACTGAATCAAATGCCGCTCGGATGTCCAAAAACACTACGATTGTTGGCCGCCAGTGGATGTGACGAAGTCCGAGAAGTTGGCGGAGCGTGCAGATTTGGTCGATGCAGCCGCAGCCCGAACGAAATCCGGCTTGTTCTTCTCGGGAAACCTCCTCTCTAATTGTTGAAAGCCTGCGAAGTAGGACCGACACGAAGATTTTGGATGCGACAGAGATTAACGAGATTCCGCGGTAGTTGCAGCAATCGTCGCAGGAGCCTTCCTTTTGAATCGTAACAATGACCGATTCTCCCCATGAGTTCGGAACCTTCTCCTCAGTCCAAACTTTCGTGAACATCGATAGGATTTCGTGGACAAGTACACTCCCGCCATATTTGAATAGAGCCGGTGGTAGGCTGTCGGGACCTGGAGCCTTGTTGCGTTTCAAAGATTGGATTGCATCTCGGATCTCTGCTTCATTTGTTGGGGGGGGGAGCTGTGGAGACAGGCCAAGCATCATCCATTGGGGCTGGAGGTGTCACAGAGGGCTGGGTTGCGTGGTTGTGTTGAAGAGCGAAATGCTCTGCCCAGCGACCCAATCTCCTGCGAAGATTCGTGATCTTCGTGCCGTCTGATTCGCAAATCGTCTGGCTGATAGCGTGGGAATTGCAACCGGTGGCCCTGATGATGCAAAATAGACGGCGGAAGTTGCCAGCTCATCAGCTTGTTTTGACCACGAAGATTCACGATCAGAGCGAAGGCTTGCTTTCAGCTGTTGCGTAATAGACCGGTGGTGTTTGTTGTACTCTGCGCCAGCAGACACCGCCCGTCGACAATCCGGCAATTCCGAGGATCTTCCCGAGATCCAGCTTCTGGGAGTGGAGCAAGCGAGGCCACAGTTGGACAAACCGGCCGACAGCAAGGCTTGTTGCAGCCTTGACCAGTGTTGATCAACATCCAGGGTGTGAGAGAGAGCGAGATTTTCACGAAGCCTTTGTTGATATTCCTTCACCATGAGTCCTTCAACTTGTAGGTGTTCAGTCGGGTGTGTTTGGACCTAAGTGAACCACCGAAACGCATGCAAACGGTCGCACATACTAGTGCATGATCGGTATCAACGCATGTTGACCAAAATGATCGGCAGTCGCGTACGCTGCCGCGCCACCTGCGACTTATGGCTATGTGGTCAATCTGTGACCAGCGCTGGGTTGATGATGGGGGGCGCCAAGTGGTGTACTGGCGTCCAGGATGACGAAAGCTGGTGCTGGAGAGGAATAGATGATGATCAGCACACAGACTGAACAGTCTCTCCGTTGTCTGAGCGAACATCATCATATCCATGCGGTCCCCCGAGGTGGCGCTCACATGGCAGCAGACGACTTACACGCGCGTTGAAGTCTCCCACCAAAACAATGATGTCTGTTTTAGGGCCCCTTAGGATCAGATCATGAAGGTTCTGGTAGTACTGATCTTTGACTGTGTCCGAGCTAGTCAGTGGGCGTATAGGCAGATACCACGAAGAGAGCACGCTTTTCAACTCGACGTCTGCTAACTTTACAAGAGTCATGGAGCCTCATCGCACAAAGGCGACTATTGATCGGACTCCAATCAATCAGAGCAGTCTCGGCTCTAGCATTGAGGCCGATTCCAACACCAGCTTGCCTAGATGCGGCAGACTCGGCGTCACCAAAGATGCGGAGATGGAAGCGAGTGTGTGGGTTGAGCAGTGACGCCAGCTGGTAGACCGAGTTAGAGTTCTGGAGTCGTGTTTCATTCAGGCAGCAGATATCA